CTTTTTGTGGTTTTGTGAAAAGTATGTAACAGGCAGAAGGAATCATCGCATAAAGTATATATATTCTTGATCAGGGCGACGAGCTGAGTCGATATAGCCCTGTCCGTCTGTCCGTCCGTCCGTATGAGCAAAAGGATCTCAGAAGATATAAGAGCTAGAGAGCTGAAATTTGGCATGCATACTCGTGTATACCATAGGCAGTACAAGTTTATCATATTTTTTCGATAACTCATCCGATAACTTTTTTTATCGAGAATAATCGAAAAATCGACAATGTTTTTTCAGCCTAATTTGAACACTTTTAGACCTAAAGACTTCAAATTTACGTTGTATATAAAGTTAATGGATACAAAGATTTTGTAATTTACAGATTTTGGATACCACGCCCCATTCGCCCCCAATTTGTAAAAAACGCATTTCAAGTACTAGAGACTTGTGCATTGGAACACATTTTAACCATATGATTACGCTCTGAAAGCTTCATTAAGATTGTATGTCTACAAAAGAAATTATTCAACAAATAAATTCTCATAATATTGCCCACATTGCAGCGCAGCCCAAGCGCAGCCGCTGCTTACTGCGCAGTTAGCAGAGCGCGTGCTTGTAAGTGCATGTGTATGTATGTGTGCATTGGAGGGTTCAGGGTACCTCCTAGTCGAGCAGTCTCGACTGGAGCCTTCTTACTTGTTTTGTCTTACTCTATCTCTTTCTATGCCCTTTCTATAAAAATAGAGTAAATTGAACTCTTGAAAAGGGTTTGCCATGCACATGACATTATCTTATGTATCTACTAATCCTGACAACTTAAATAAAATAGTGATTCTAAATTTCAATATTAAATAAACATATACATATATATATTATATTACAAAATTACATTGCCTTTCGTTTGCTCGTTATTTGTGGGGAGGGCATGAAATCGTTACTACGCATTAAGAATATTTTTCGCTACCAAATTGTAACGCTAAATTTGCCGTCGGTCGGCTATCTGGTCTGCACAGACACAATTCCATTGCCCTTCGTGTTTTTCTTATTTTTTTTCTTTGTCGCTCAATAAGTCATACACAATCGCACTCACACACTCATACAATTTTCATCGCAATATGAGCATTGTTAACTCGGTTACGTTTTTTTTTTGGCACTCATGCAGCCCTCTAGTATGTATGTATATATGGACTATAGCGCAGCATGAATTAAAAAAAAAAACAAGTAAGAACGTTGCAGTCGGGCGTTACCGACTGCGGAATACTCATTTACATCCCATCAACAATTTAGTAGTTAAGTTTAGCCTTAATACTTTAGAAAATTCAGTTTTTCCCGATTTGCCACGCCCCTACTAGGCGTAGACACCCATTGAAAATGGGAAATCAGGGTATAATGGTTTTGTTAAAAGTATGTAACAGACAGAAGGAGGCGTGGCACACCCCACAAAGTATATATATTCTTGATCAGGGCGACGAGCTGAGTTGATTTGGCCCTGTCCGTCTGTCTGTCCGTCCATATGTATGAACGCGTCGATCTCAGAAGATATAAGAGCTAGAGACTTGAAATTTTTTTCCTAGATCCGTGTATGTCACGCGCATATCAAGCTTTTCTCTAAATATCAATACTCCCGATATTTTATTATCGATTAAAAACCTTATCGAAAGCTAGTTATTTAATTATATCTCCAACACCTTTCGAGCTAGAGCTTCCAAATTTTAAATGTGGACTTATATATATTTTCCATAATTTCGTTTTTTGTTGTAATTTGCCTCCCACCCCTGTATCCAGCTCCTCACCCTCATCTTTGTTAAAGGCGTATTTCAAGTACTAGACACACTAGTGTGCTTTAGAATGTACATACATTTGAACATTATGATTATATTCTAAAAGTTTTATTAAGATTGTACGTCTAGAAATTAAATTATTCAACAAATAAATTCGTATAATATTGTCCTCACTGCAGCGCAGCCCAAGCGCAGTCGCTGCGCAGTTAGCAGAGCGCGTTCTAATACGTGTGTGTATGAATGGAGGATTCAGGGTATCTCCTAGTCGAGCAGTCTCGACTAGAGTCTTCTTACTTGTTATACCCTCAACCCATTGAAAATGCGAAATCTGGGTATAATGGTTTTGTTAAAAGTATTTAACATGCAGAAGGGGCGCGGCAGACCCCATAAGTATATATATTCTTGATCAGGGCGATGAGCGGAGTCGATTTAGTTTATTAATGATTAGTTTATTAATGATTATTAGGATTTACAGAGTTTATGTGATAGACGCGAGTCTATCATGCTGAGTATGTATGTAATAGTCAATCTAACACAGCATCTCTTCTAAGTATGAGTTAATTGCATACTAATTTCAATGTACGCGAGCCGGCTAAACAAAGCTGAGCCGCTGCGTGAGAGAAAGAAAGATCGCAAAAGGGAGAGCGCGATCTCTTTTACAAATACTCTTAAATGCTAACATATTTGTTGAACTGCAATGAAGTGAGGATTGCTGAGCCCAGCATCGTCCTCCCTTTGAAAACTTAGTCTTGAACAGAATCCTTAAGGAGCAGCAAACACAGCTTGTTTGTAGCTCTTCTAATCTCGCTAGCTTCAGTTTTAAGTTCGGCTACCCGTGTAACGCCATCACCTGCAGGGATAAGTTCGATTATTCTCGCTAGTGGCCACTTAAGTGGCGGTAAATTCTCATCCTTTATGAGAACTATGTTGCCAACAGTCAAGCCAAGTTTGGACGTTCTCCATTTCGCTCGCTGCTGTAACAAGTTGAGGTATTCGTCCCGCCAACGAGTCCAGAACACCTGCTGTGGATAGCTTACGCGCTGCCAAGCATCGAAACGATCGAAATTGAGCCCTGTCAGATTGGGCTCGCTGAAGGAAGAGGGAGGACCACCGTTCAGGAAATGCGCAGGGGTCAATACGTCTATGTCTGATGGGTGCTCTGAAATCGAAGCTAAAGGGCGCGAATTAGTTACAGCAGCGATGTTGCAGACCAGTGTGCGAAGCTCATCGATAGAAATGTTGTTTCGCTGACTTCCCTGCAGCCTCCCACAAGCCAACCAAGTGGGGAGATCGTAGAGGGATGAAATGCCATTCAATTGACTCCACTAGACAGAAGTCCTTCACAACTTTCTGGTGGGTCTCTAACAGAATAGACGCTTCAACTCTTGGAGCTGCTTGCGGGTGCCGAGAAAGTTTATGGCGTTGTCAGGCCAGATTTGACTTGGCCTTCCTCTGGTGCATATAAAATAGAGGTGCCAAACTATCAATGGTGCCAAACTATCAATCCCATTGATTGAGGACGATAGTAATTTCCGATGGTCGATAGTCGCAATAAAAAACAGTGATTCTTAGCCTTACAAATTTGAACTTATGAACACTTCAATTTTGTGAAATTACATTTTAAGATAAAAGCTGAGTTGACTTAAAAGCTAAAACCTAAAAACTATTAAGTTTTGTAGTGATCGATTTTTGTTGTCTGCAAACAAGTGTCTTTCAGTCACACAATAAAAAAGACTCAGACAGAAATTGTTTTTGTCGCGTATGGTTTAGCGCGCTCGCGCTCTGAGCGAGACAGTTATTTCAGTTTTCGTTTCGCTCAAGTCAAGCACTGATCGTTTGCTTGAGTTAAATGAATTGTCTTTTGCGTATGTATGGGTAATCACACGCGATTGTTGTGTTCTGTTATATATGCACAATGGAGGACAAAAGTATTTTGACAACATATTGCAAAAACTCAAACCGCTTATTTCTCCGTGCTGACACGGAAACACCTGCATTATTCTTCGTGACCGATTGATTTTTTAAAGATATCACTTAATCACGTTGTTTGCCTATAATTTACCAATAACTATGATCAAATAATGGCTATTATTAAAGAGAACAGCAAAAATAACTTAAACAAGTAAGAAGACTCTAGTCGAGAGACTCTAGGAGATACCCTGAACCCTCTAATCTGATATTCTAATCTCTCTGCACTTCTTTTCGGCACACATACATACACACGCACGTATTAGAACGCGCTCTACATTTAAAATTTGGAAACTCTAGCTCTAAAGGTGTAGGATTTATAATTAAACACCTAGCTTTCGATAAGGTTTTTGATCGATAATAAAATATCGGGAGTCGTTATCGATATATAGAGAAAAACTAGATATGCACGTGATATACACGGACCTAAGAAAAAAAATTTCAAGTCTCTAGCTTTTATATCTTCTGAGATGGACGTGCTCATGCATACGGACGGACGGATAGGGCCAAATCGACTCAGCTCGTCGCCCTGATCAAGAATATATATATGTCGAAGCGCAAGTAGTGTTAATATATTGGCGAGCACTGTAATTGCGCTTTCTACCTACTTGTCTATTTCCCTTTTTGCGTGCCTTCGCACTTGTGTGTGTGTGAGTTGAGCCTGTGTGTTCGATGCCCTTGAACAAAGAATGCTCTATTACAGAGTATGGTGGTTGTTTTGGTCACACATGATCGCAGCTTGCATAGTTAAGTTATTGAGAGTATTTGGTGGTCAGTATGTGAAATAGAAGCTGCTTGCTATTTCGCGACTGTTGTAAGTTCATAAGAATATTGCGTCAGCCGTTTGGTGCATTGTAATTGGTCGAATATGATTTGTAGCATAGAAATGTCCCGTTGTAGCTGGGCGACAGCGTTTGCAGCTGTCACTGAGGGTGGTTCGGTGGCAAGCCCAAGAAAGAGTTGAGACAAAGAGGGCAGTAACGTCTAGAACTTGTCCGTCGCCGAAACTCGCTGGTGCTTCAACAATGAATAAAGAAAATACTAGTGCTTCAACATATACTTTGTGGGGTCTGCCACGCCTCCTTCTGCCTGTTACATACTTTTAACAAAACCGTTATACCCTAATTTCCCATTTTCAATGGGCTCAGGGTATAAAAATAAAAATACGTATTTTTTAATCCAAGCGAATTACCGAAAATGAATTTGAAAAGAATGTCAAAATACTTTTGTCCACCCAAATAATGATAGTCCGCCATGCAAATAATTATATAAAAACAAGTAAGAGCTTTGCAGTCGGGCGTTACCAACTGCGGAATACTCATTCACATCCCATCAGCAATTTAGTAGCAAAGTTTCGCTCTGATACTGTAGAAAATACAGTTTTCCCCAATTTGCCACGTCCCTACTGGGCGTAGAAACCTTTTGGTCAGTTCTTAGAACGAGATAACGGTACCCTAGCTGCAAATTTGAATGCTTACGCTATGTGAAAATGACAGGGTATTTTTCGATATGCCACGCCCCTAAAGAGGCGTAACAATTTGTTTTGGGTCATCGATAGAAGAGGCTACCAGTAACTAAACTATCCAAATTTGAAGCTTCTAGCTATTATACTTTAGGACATATAAACTTTTGCGGTTTGCCACGTCTCCTATGGGCGGACATATATCTACCATAACTCGTTGGTCTTGGGTGGTCAACCCACGTATAAATACCAAATTTCAGGTCTCTAGCATCAATAGTGCCTAAAATATAACCTGTTAATGCCAGATCCCATTAACAGGATTGCTCCTCCCCCACAGAGCCCGATTATGCTATTAACAGCTTTCTGTTAATAGCATAACCGCTTGCTCTCAGTACTTGGCCCTCCGCCAAGTACTACTTCTTCTACTATTATTACTTTTCTTACACTGATTCCTTGTGCAACTACTTGAATATCCAACATCGCCATTTTGCGCGTGTCGAATAAAATAGTTTTTAAAATCACCACTACGTGTCCTTATTTCAAGACTCCACACTACAACATTTGGTCCTTCGAGCCGGAGATCATCAACACATCCACCAGCGATTCTTGGGAGTTCTGAGATAAGTAACTGATTGCTTTTCGTTTCACTGCAACTTGCATAGGTCAGTGCATACCGGCATTTGTTATACGACATTTCCGCCATATATATTTGTATATATACATATTTGTACTTTGTGCAAGTTGCATCCCACTAATATATATATTCTTATATATTAGACACAAATCTGAATATATATATTCTTATATATTCAGGTACGTGAAGTCCATAGCCATACATACATACATACAGTGGTTCCAACGCCAAATCGGACAAGACTATTTATTTATTTCAACAAGTATTTTCTTTAGCAGTAAGTTAACTTTTTACCGTTTTCACATTTTTTCTCAAATCTATTATGTATTAGCCCCCCAAAACAAAAACAAAAAATTTTAATTTCAAATGGCAACATTTTTTTTATTTTAAACAAGTAAGAACGTTGCAGTCGGGCGTTACCGACTGCGGAATACTCATTCACATCCCATCAACAATTTAGTAGTTAAGTTTCGCTCTAATACTGTAGAATATACAGGTTTTTTCGATTTGTCACGCCCCTACTGGGCGTAAACACCTCATTTTTGGTCAGTTTCTAGAACGAGATAACAGTACCCTAACTGCAAAGTTTGAATGCTTACTCTCAAAAAAAGTGAAAATTACAGGGTATTTTTCGATATGCCACGCCCCTAAAGAGGCGTAAAAATTATTTTTTGGGGAATCGATAGAGGAGGCTATACTTTAGGAGATATACATTTTTGCGGTTTGCCACGCCCCCTGTGGGCGGACATATATCCGACAAAGCTTTTTGGTCTTGGGTGATCAGCCCGAGTATGTATACAAAATTTGAGATCTCTGGCATCAATAGTGTCCAAAAAATAGCAGAATTTGAAAAATCACTATATCTTCAGGTCCGATTTGCCACGCCCCTAATGGTTGTAGACTTATAATTTTATTTTTAGACTTTATAGAATCATAACATTAGCTGACATGCAAAATTTCAGCATTCTAGGTTTACAACTTTAGGAGATACAGTGTTATCCGATTTGCCACGCCCCCCATGGGCGGAGATATATCCGCCATAGCTCGTGATCTTAGGTGTTCGATGCGGACTTACATACCAAATTTCAGTTTTCTAGCTCTTTAACTAACATGATTTCTGGTATATCGGAAAATGCATTTTCCGATTTGCCACGCCCCTAGTGGGCGGATCGGGAAAATTTAAACACTTTATAAATCGGAGATATACACGAGTATGTGCTCCAAATTTCAAGTCTCTAGCTGCAATAGCGCCGAAATAGATTGCGTTCATACGGACAGACGGACAGACGGACGGACGGACGGACAGCAAGACGGACATTGCACAAAACCAATATACTGATTCACTTTCGTGAATGAGTATAAAAACGAACAACAAGTCCGATATTGAGCTTCAACGCCAAATCGGACAAAAGAAAACTGCAAGAAAAAGATCCGTTATTTGGCGGAGATTTTCGTTTTTGTTTTGCTTATTGCATTTCGTTATGTTCTCAAGCTCATAGGCGTACAGTAACACAAATTATTTTTGCGAAATGGCTCCACGTGGGAAGCAAACTGGTGTTGAGGCACGCCAAATAATATTAAAACTGCATTTTGATGGCAAAACTGTTAGAGAAATAGCAGAGCTGGTCGGAAGAAGCAAATCTACCGTCCATGATATCATAAAAAGGTTTCGGGAAGATGGAAGATTGATTAACAAAAGCCAGGAGGGAAAAAGAAAGCGAATAAACTCAAGGGAAGAGCGGTCGATTATAAGGGAAATTAAGGTTGATCCCTTTAAAACCGCAAAGGAACTAAGGATGTCATTAAAAACAAACTTTGGAATGGATGTGTGTGACAACACAGTGCGCAATACTTTGCATCGGTATGATTTGCATGGCCGAGTTGCCCAAAAAAAGCCTTATATTAGCCCTAAGAACAAAGCGTTTAGGGTAAAATTCGCGAAAGAGTACTTGCTAAAAACGGATGACTTTTGGAATCATGTTAGTTGGTTGTATATCATATTAAATACCTTTCTTTTTTTGCTAATTATCTTATTTAAAGATGTTGTTTACTGATGAAAGTAAATTTAATTTGCATGGGTCCGATGGTAAGGTGTATGTGTGGCGTAAACCAAATACTGAGTTTGAGCCCAAGAACACAATAGGCACTGTTAAGCATGGAGGAGGTTCAGTCATGGTTTGGGGTTGTATGTCGAGTGCGGGAGTTGGCCATTTGCACTTTATTGATGGCATACTCGATAAATTTGGCTACCTTGATATTTTGAAAAAAAAATGTTAAGCAGAGTGCGGAGAAATTGGGGCTACTTGAAGACTTTGCTTTCTATCAAGACAACGACCCCAAGCACACTTCAATGCTAGCTAGGCTCTGGCTAATCCATAATTGTCCCAAATTGATCCAAACGCCTGCCCAGAGCCCGGATATAAACGTAATAGAAAATCTGTGGGAAATTTTGGCGAGGAAAGTTTACCAAAACCGGTATAACAATCTGGACCAATTGAAAATGGGATTACTTGCAGCTTGGAACTCCATAGAGCCAGAGATCTGCAAAAAGTTGGTCAAATCAGTTCCCAATCGCTTGCAGGCTGTTGTCGCAAACAAAGGTTTTGCAACAAAATATTAAATATTAAGTTTTTCTCTTATTTTTCATTAAAGTTTTCTTTTGTCCGATTTGGCGTTGAAGCTCAAAATCGGACTTGTGGTTCGTTTTTTAAAATAAAAAAAATGTTGCCATTTGAAATTAAAAAAATTTTTTTTTGTTTTAGGGGGCTAATACATAATAGATTTGAGAAAAAATGTGAAAACGGTAAAAAGTTAACTTACTGAAATAAATACTTACTTATTGAAATAAATAAATAGTCTTGTCCGATTTGGCGTTGGAACCACTGTATATGTATGTATGCACTATCCTAACCATAACATTCAATCCAATCATATAGTCCGATTGCACATATTTAATTGCGATTTCGCTGCAATATATGTACGTACATACATACAAGGCTCCCATTGCATATACATACACATATATATATGCACACCTGTTTGTACATTCCGCACCATATATACATATATTAAAATAAATAAAGATAAAACAGAAAAAAACATATCCTTGTCGTTTTATTATAATTTATTTTAAATCTTTATATTTATACTCATATATGTATTTATATTTGCATGTTAACTCTTATACGTGTGTGTGTGCTAATTGTGTCTCCGCTTTGCTCTGCCATCCACATATGTATATCCATATGAATGTACAAATAGAGCAGCAACACAATTAACACATAATTAATTAACTTATTAACAAAACACATTCAGATTTATAACACTTGCAGAAAAATAATAAATATATTCCATCTGTTGTAGACTTGGGTAGCTCATGAGTAGCAGTGCTGGGAAAAAGATCGATCTAGCAAACGATATATCGATGTTTCATATCCATCGAAAATATCGATGTAGAAAACTTCGATACTTGATATATCGCCATCACTATACCATTAATTCCCCATCACTTGAATTAAAAGCGTGGGATAAGACTGTCAGGTAATTTGCAAATTATTTTAACAATATAATTCAAATACTAACGTAACCCACTTTTCATTTAGGATTTTGGTGTTGGTAGTGTTGTAGAGAAATGGATAAGTTTTTAAACAGCAAGGACAATGGCGAAGGTAAATATTATTTTACTGCTTATGTCAGCCACACACGTGGTCTGCAGCTTTTGCGTTTTAAAATAATGTAACAAACACGCATTTGTTTGTAGATTGCGACGCGGATAAGGAAAATGGAGAGGCTTGTCTCAAGCCGCAGCAAGTAGATATGCTGCTCTTCATAAACAAAAATGATTGGACGAAGTAAATGATCTTATTAAATAATATAATCTTTGTTACATAGTTTAGTTTAGTTTATATGAAACGTTTTTTAATTTTAATAAGAAATTCATCTTTTGTTTTTTATATGAAAACTTTTTTTTTAATTTTGGGAGCTAAAATATGTTTATGAAAATATCGATACATCGATCTGAGACCCATACATAATATCGAAATATCGATCTACGTAAAGATCGATCTTTTCCCAGCACTAATGAGTAGGGCTGCAAATCCATCGATGGAGTCTATCGATAGTATCGATGGATTTGAACTCTCAAGATATATCGATGGATTTTTTCATCCATCGATAATTTACTACTTGGAAGCGCGAAGAGACACATGTAAGTATTTTCTAATATTTTATTTTGTGATTAGCTTTTTTAACAATATTTTAATGAAATAATTTTGCAACGACGAGCTGCTCTTAAGGCCAAAAATGTAAATATTCTGTTGTTTATCAACAAAAACCAATGGTTGCTGGAGAACTAGATTTATTTTTTATAAAATTAGTATAGAGTTAAAACCACCTTGTGAAATTTTGTTTTTTTTTTTAATGAAATAATTTAATTTTTATAGTTTTATAATTTTATATCAGAGGCATCTCAAAATGAAATCATGTACCTTTTATATATATATATATATATATTTTTTTTTAATTTTTAAGACGAAACTGCTTTAAATATAACAAGAATAAAAACAGCTTGAAGCATATAAAAAAGAATTTAATTATTTGCATTGACTGACATATTTATCCATATGTAATAAAATATATATTTTATTAGATATACAACCATCACATAAAGATCCGATTACTTTTGTATTGTATTTTTATACAAAATTGCACGAATCATTTACATACAATGTGCTGGATGTATGATTGAAATTATTGAGAATTTCTGTATTTCTAAGAATTTCAAATTTTCGATGGAACTATCGATAGTATCGATGGTTCATTCCATCGATGGAGAAATCTATCGATGGTTTTGCAGCCCTACTCATGAGTGAGTGAGCTAAAATGAATGGCTCACTGAACTGAGGCAGTGAGCCAGTTCCTTCTATATGGCTCATTTTGGCTCACTAGCTCATTTTGGTTGACTAGCGCATTTTTACTCACTCGCTCATTATATTCCCAATGAAGGGAGCTAAAAAATATATATTTTATTAAAAGTTTGTTCTGTTAGTTTTAAGAAACAAATTTTAAATGTCGTTTTTTTTAGTTTAAATGTAACGTATTTTGACAGTTTTTTTCTTTCAAGTTGCTTGCTCACGGGCAATCAGCAGGTGAGCCAGTGAGCCATATGAGTGAGTTGGCTCACTTCACAAAAAAGAGCGAGTGAGCCGGTTCACCTCAATGAGCTGCTTTTACCCAAGTATAATCTGTTGTTCTGTGTGCAAATGCTAGTGATCGTACTTAGAAAAGTTTTCACATAAATACCGATAACAAGATTCATCGCCAGCCGCCACAATTCCGTGGCGATACTTTGTTTCTTTAGAGATCGCAGCGCGCAACTATTGTTTGCGAGCCGATAGTTCTTGATAGCACGAATATTCGGTGATTAATTACTACTTTATTGATTTTTATTTTTTGTTTTTTTTTGTTTCTTTTCACTTCCTTGTTTATTTATTTAAAAATAAGCACAGCTAATAAACTTAATTTATTCTCGAGCTTAATTTATTCTAATTAGCTCAAGCAAAATATTCTTTTTGCTTATTTTCAATTTCAAATCAAGCTAAATCCAACTTAATTTATCCTAATTAAGTTGATTAACATTTTCTTCGAACTTAATTTATTCTAAGTAAGTAACTCGAGCTTAATTTATTCTAATTAGCTCAAGCAAAATATTCTTTTTGCTTATTTTCAATTTCAAATCAAGCTAAATCCAACTTAATTTATCCTAATTAAGTTGATTAACCTTTTCTTCCAACTTAATTTATTCTAATTAAGTAACTCGAACTTAACTTATTCTAATTAATTCAACCAACTTGATCATTCTTGTGTTTTATTTATTTGCTCAAGCAGATTTAGGTGACCCGCAATTTATTCTGAATTGCTTACAGTTTCTTTGAATCATTTGGCGTCCAGGCCAATTCTGTTGATTTCATTGAGATTTTTCATCCTCGTTCGCTCGTAAACTTCTCTCTAGTTGGGAGTTCTGTCAACCAATCCTCCGCACCTCCATGTCCGATCGTTCTAGCCGAGCGCAGTTGAGTGTACCTGCTTCCCGTCTAATCAAGCGCAGTGCTTCCGCATCTCCCATTCCGTCCGGGAAACCACAGACCACCAGCACTTTCAAGCGCAGTCCGGTCGTTACACGGTCCAGTCCGAAGCCAGCAGCATCAGTCAATATGTCTCTGTCCGATTTCATCGCTGCTGCGGATAGGCTCATAAAATTCGAAGCCCGCATCGACGGTCCCGGAGATTCTAACGCCACTCATGCGGCTCAGCTCCGGGCCTTCGAGATCCGCCGAGACCGTGTCAAGGCATTATGGGATGATGCTGAGCAGCAGTATAAGGTCTGTGCCAGAGCATTGAGCCAAGGGGCGAGCAGTGGCGAAGTTGAAGCCATGGAGGCCAAGTTCGACAACTGTTACTCTGTCTACGAGCGGTGTACGACCCATCTGGGTGTACAGATCGATGCACTTTCCGTATCGAGTACACCACCCGCTCCTATGTCCGCTCCTTTCGCCTCGTCTGGAGGCTGTCGTCTACCACCCGTTGATACGGAAGTGTTCCATGGCGACTACTTGCGCTGGCCAACATTCCGTGATCTTTTTACTGCCATTTATATTCAGAATCCGCGCCTAACTCCGGTGGAAAAGTTATTCCACCTCAACTCAAAGACAGCAGATGATGCAAATGCCTTAGTCGCCGAGTGCCCGCTCACGAATGACGGCTTTGCATCAGCTTGGGACGCCTTGTGTGACCGGTACGAGAACAAGCGACTGTTAGTGAACAGCCAGCTTAAGATCCTTCTCAACCTCCCCAAAGTCACCAAGGAATCAGGCGCGGCTCTCAGAGAATTGCATGGCAACATTCATCGGTGTGTCACTGCCATCGCGCAAGCCCAAATCTCTACGGAGAACTGGGATTGTATCCTTGTGTTCTTGTGCACTTCCAAGTTACCTGAACACACTCGATCTCTCTGGGAGCATTCTTTAACACGAAAATCAGACATCCCAGCCTGGAAAGACGTAAGTCTCTTCATTAGCGAGCATGCTCGCGCGCTTGAGGCTATGGAAGGTGATAGGTCTCTCCCGAAAGTCCCAGGTTCAGACCCGAAATCCACGGTCAGCAACTCTCACAAAAAAGTCCATGCCTTCGAGTCACAAGTCCACTCCAAATCAAAAAAGTGCGACTTGTGTGCTAAAGAGAACCATCCGGTTCGTCTGTGTCCTCGCTTCATCCAAATGTCTTTGGCAGCGCGCGAGACATACATAAAGCGAAGGCAACTTTGCCTGAACTGCTTTGCTCAAGGTCACCAACTGCGCGACTGCACTAGCATACACAATTGCGCCAAGTGCAAGGGGAGGCACAATACACTGCTTCACCGTGAAGGCTCCACAGCAACCAGCTCCTCGTCCGGAGCCGCTGTGACTCCAGGTACGTCCGAAGTACCTTGTAATGTGCAGTCGTATTTCACGGCCGATACTCCAGGGGTCCTGCTGGGTACGGCTGTAATTGATGTATGTCACTTGGGGGTCACATATCCAGCCAGGGCTTTAATTGACTCGGGGTCCGAAGCGACGTTCATTTCCGAACGATTATTCCGTCTGATGAAGCTACCTTTCCGATCCGTGCAAACGCAGGTGTCCGGTCTAGGCCACTCTGTGGCAGCAAAATCAACGAAGCTTTGTGACTTCCACATCGGCACTCCACTGAAACCTCGACTTCGAATTGAGGCCTCAGCCTTGGTCATCCCACGACTCTCCGGCAATCTGCCATCGTACCCCATTCCGCAACAGCTCTTAAACAATCTGCCCGACATCCCATTAGCTGATCCACTCTTCTTCAAGAGCGCTCAAATTGACGTTCTTTTAGGCGCGGATATCCTTCCAGCGGATCACTAATGGGCCAAGAGACAATCTTTGGCTGGATTCTTACGGGTCCAGTCACTAAGAAGCCTCAAGAGTCGATTTCCGCTTTCACGACTAGGGTTACCGTTCTCCACGATGAAAAACTCGACCACCTCATTACCAAATGTTGGGAGGTGGAGAATCTCCCCAAGGTAGCCAGTGAGCCGGACTCTGCGTGTGAGGATAATTTTGTCCGAACCACACGGAGAGACAAGTTTGGCTCCTACGTCGTGACTCGCCCGTTCAAAAATCCGGATCACCCTGACTTAGGTCATTCGCGATCCATCGCTCTGGGGCAGTTTCTCAAAAATGAGAGCAGGTTGTCCAAGAATCCGACACTCAAAGCCGAATACGAAGCTATCCTGCAAGAGTATCTCGACTTGGGTCATATGAGGCCAGTGCACCACCACCAAAGTGAGGGTGGTGTTCAATGCATCGTGCCCATCTTCCAATGGGAAGAGCCTGAATGATATTCTTCATCCAGGCCCGGTCCTTCAGTCCGACCTCACGATGCAAATCCTCAAATGGCAATTCGCACAACGTGACTTAAAGGTCGGCGACATGGTCATCGGCCGTGTCCACCTCACGCACCCAGGAGATGATGGAAAGGTCCGAGTGGCGGACATTCTCACCTCCCGGGGCATTGTCCGTAGACCCGTCCATAAGTTGGTCATCCTACCAACGGACGATAACACCGCTGTGATGTCCAACTAACCATGTATGTACATCTAATTCCACCAGTTACCACCCCGCACATCTCTCCTTTTCAGCTATGCCATCAGCTGTTCAATCCGTGGAGACACCTGGCATCAACTCTTTCCGATGCCGCGTGTGTAGAGGGGTCCACGCTCTGCGGAAGTGCAGGCGTTTCCTGGGTCTTCCGGCCGAAAAACGTCTTCGCGCCGTGCTAATTAATAAGTACTGCGCGAATTGTCTGGCGCATCAGCACTCCGGGCAATCCTGCCGGAGCAAGGCCAAATGCAAGACGTGTGGCCAGAGCCATCACACGCTGCTGCATCTGCCTGGAGCTCGTCGCCGACAGCGATGTCGTCCCGCTGCAGCCCCTATCAGCGGGCCCACCTCCTCCGCCCTCGCCGGGACACCTGCACCACAAAAAGGATCCCGCAAAGGACGACGCCACCAGGCAGCATCCACCACCACGAGGGAAGTTACGCCGCCGCTGAGCACGCTGATGCAGCACAAGGCCGTTAGCATCCTGCCCACGGCAATTGTCATTGTGCAAACGGACCAGAAGGATTTCGATGTGAGGGCGTTGATCGATCCGTGTAGCCCTACTACTCGGATCCATGCTTCATTGGCAAGGGCCATGGGTCTTTCCGCCACTAGCGTGGGTCCGGGAGAGGTTTGCACGGCGACCATCTGTTCGAAAACATCCGATTTCCATATTAATGCTATCCTGCAATTAGACCCGCAGCTCAATTGCCGGACGCCAATCCGGCCGATCGAGCACGCAGCCAATCCGGCTGGGATTACGCTCGCCGACGGCAATTGGGCTCGACCCAGTACGGTGTCTGTTGTGCTGGGGGCTGACGTGTATTCTCACGTCATCCTTCCAGGAATCGTCCCCAGCACTGACGGTCGTCCCATGGCCCAGAACACCGTCTTCGGGTGGGTCCTTTCAGGTTCCTACCAATAATCTGCACAGATATACATATATTGCAATCCTTGCAAGGGGGGGAGTATGTTAATGCCAGATCCCATTAATAGGATTGCTCCTCCCCCACAGAGCCCGATTATGCTATTAACAGCTTTCTGTTAATAGCATAACCGCTTGCTCTCAGTACGTGGCCCTCCGCCAAGTACTACTTCTTCTACTATTATTACTTTTCTTACACTGATTCCTTGTGCAACTAATTGAATATCCAACATCGCCATTTTGCGCGTGTCGAATAAAATAGTTTTTAAAATCACCACTACGTGTCCTTATTTCAAGACTCCACACTACAACATAACCGAATTCGAAAAATCACTATAACTTCAGGTCCGATTTGCCACGCCCCTAGTAGGCGTAGATAGATATTTTTTCATCCATCTTTACAGAATCTTTACGTGCAAAATTTCTGCATTCTAGCATTCTAGGTTTACAACTTAGGAGATACAGTTTTATCCGATTTGCCACGCCCCCAATGGGCGGGGAACGGTCCGCAAAAGTCGACTCCAGTCACTCCAAAGACCCGATAGCCATCGACTCGATCCTTGGGTAGATCTTTCATTATATGTTCAACGAGTCGAGGCTTTGCGCGAAAGCAAATGACTCATCTCTAAATCACACTGGCTACAGTTTCTCTACCCCCAATTGGCCAATATTGGGAACAAACCAAAGCTAGCACTGCTCGGGGACCAGCATGCAAACTTCGCTGATGGAAATGCATGATTATGGCTCTAGTTACTGGATGTCCTTTGGACAAAATTACATAGTTGCAGTTCATAGAGGCGTCATGGACTGGGTCTTTTACAAGAAGCACAGTTCTTCGAAGCCCAATTGAAGTTCTTTTTAGAAGCGCTGAGACTGGCCACTGAGATCTGGGCTTCCAGAGGAAACTTGGACCGTTGAACCAAAGTGACGATGCATTTAACTCCGAGGGCAATGAACCCCGAGATAATATATCAGCGGGATTCAGCCGCTGTGAGATCTTGTATCGTGGCTATGCGATTTGAAACAAAAACGTTACATCGTCCGGGCTCGTCATTGATCCAACAAAGCGCTACAGTAGAGTCAGACCAATGAAACTCGCCTTCAAAAATGCCTAAGCATGCAACACTGCCCCGCATAGTTCCAGCTTGGGAACCGTGAGCGTTTTTAGAGGAAAAACTCGAGACTTGAAACAAAGTAACCTGCTGATGATGTGCTGTCCTCTGGATACAATATATATACAGGCTCCATATGCCTCGATGCGGGCATTGCAGAATCCATGTACCTCAACACTCGTTCCTGGTACTAATGACAGCCCCAGAAAGGCACTACTAAGACCGCTGCCAAAGTTACTGCAAATGTCCAACCATGCAATGTGACATGCAGACGGAAGACTCTCGTCCCAATCCAGTTTATGCCTCCAGAGCTGTTGTAAGAAAATTATAGCCTTCGTTATTACTGGGTCGACCAGGTCAAGGGGATCGTAAAACCGAGCCATAGACGAGAGAACAGAGCGCCTGGAGGGCTTGGAGGTTGAATGCAGAGCTAGATATGAGAAAAGAAGCTGACCAGATATTGGATCCCATGCAAGACCAAGTATCTTTGTAATGTCGCTGCCATCATTGAACCATATGAGCGATTCCTTGTCGCAGTCTGTTACGCCGTCCAGTACCATGGGATGGCTTGAACACCACTTTCGCAATTTAAGCTTCCGACATGCCAGCTACCTCTTGCATAACAAGTCTTGCTTCTTCGGCTGAATTTCCTCCAGAAATCAAATAGAAATCGCGAAGCAGCACGTCGGACCCGGCAGGGAATACGTCCTTTTCATCTACGGCAAGCTGATGCATGGCGCGCACAGAAAAAAATGACGCTGGTTTCGTTCCATATGTGACCGTATTAAGCCTAAAAACTTCCAACTCATCATCTGCCAAATTCCTCCATAGAATGCATTGCAGATAGCTGGCCGGCTCAGGTACCTTCACGCAACGATACATTTTGCAAATATTGCTCTTGAGTGCAACTGTATAAGACCGGAAGCACAGTAATATGTCTACCAATTTCGGTTGAGTGACAGGACCTGACATTAGAATATCATTCAGTGAATAACCAGTTATCATAGATGCTGATCGGCAAGCGCATCTAAATCAGCCTTGGCTTGCAGTCTTTTTACGTGTTCAAACACCGACTGTACCTTGAGCTTATAAACCCGCACGCGCTCTTCGGGAGCAACTGTACTTGCATCTAAGTTCGTCATGACGAGTAAAGTACAAGAGTAGCACGATAGAGTTCAAAGTTGTTGTTGCACGATTACAAGAGTAATGCGTCAAATTTATGCTCTAGCAGAGGCACAAAACTAGTAAAACGTTTTATTTTGTTGAACACAGAACTTGCAATATTATGAATTGTTGCACACCGGTACGATTATTATGGACGCGATCGTATTGCAGCCGAGGCGAAAGAGTGCAATGGAAACGAAAATATTAACGGCAAGCATGTAATTACACTGTGCTTATGCAAACTTATTGACGTATAGATTGAAGCTATTGAACACCACAGTTCAGATATTAGCTGACATTAATTGTTTATTAACACTCTTTATTAGCTTGTCACTTGTAGAAGTTGTTCACATGGGCACTGTTTTTATGGACGCCAGTATTGCAGGCCGAAACCACTATCCAAAGAACACATAGACTAGACATCTAGAACAAATTTTTTCCACGCCTAAAAATGTGTCTCGTAGGTCCCAGCCAACTTCGTATTCTCAAATTGTCAAGCTCAGCAGCGCACAAATATTGAAATTTGTGGGAAGGGTATGAAAGTGTTGATGCGCATAAAGAATATGATTTCGCGACGGGCCTGCACACACACACTTGCAGTCCCTTACTATATGAGCATTTTGGTGCCTGTGTGCGTAAATCTTGCTGCGTGTACAAATTGTAAAGCCCAAACTTTGCTGTGCGTCGGTCTTACGGACTGTCATATCCACTTCACACAGATGTACGTACATTTATGTATCATTATGCCTATGTTTATACATGTGTGTGAATCGATAAAATAATATAAATTTGTATATAATTATAATTACTTTATCTAGACTGGAAATATGATCGTAGTACACTAATAAGTTTATTAAATGCTTTGCAATATGTCGGGTAGCGGCTACAAAAACTATATGCACGTATTAATGAATATGAACGTATGTATTTGCTGTGCGTTTATATGCATATACATATTGCTCCACACAGTGACGCGAGTTAGTCGAAGTGCCGTTCGTGCCAGGTGATAGTAGTGGACACTTTCACTCGCAGGGCACCTTACGACATAGTCAAAAACAGAA